AGAATAGATTTGAACTTTCAGTGTCTTCTACCAAGTATGAATCATACAGCTTAGAGTTGGGATGCTCTGCAAGATTTGAGTTGTGATGCCAGGTGCAGAAAGTATGAAGATAGGTTTGCTTTGTGATGTCTCAGGAACTGCACATTTTGACAAGCAGCGAAGGATGTGAAAATAACTTTGTGGTTTAACCTTGCATGTACCTGAAATTATTGTCCAAAGGCTTCTTTAGCTCTCTCAAGCTCTCTTGAGCTTGGTGCTGTAATTCCTTCCCTGAGGGCCCCTGGAGCAGGCTCCTGGTGTGACTCCTAGGATCCTGTGCAGGGCTGGGAGTTGGACTCTGATCCTTGTGGGTACCTTCTAGCTCCACATACTCTGTGGTCTGTGCAGCCATAGTCTGCCCCGAATGGAATGGATTTGGGCTTCTGCTGTATCTGACTTGCCTCTGGCTTGAAATAGGTCATGGTCTTTATTGCATTGTAAGGGAGTGCTTATTTGCAAAATTAATGCACAATTATCCACAATAGGCAGATTCAAGTTGATAGATTCCAGTATATCTGGAATATTTCCAGTTGTCTGGCTGCCCGTGTCTATGTTAGCCTGCGTCAGCTTCCTTGTGTCAGCAGCACTAAAAGGAGAATCAAATCTAAACTCTTGTGATAGAGAGTAACCTTAACCTAAAGCTACAGTATAGGCCAGAAACATTTATTTGATGCTTTTTTTGGAAAAATGATACGGTTATCCAAGCTGTAAAGGATTCATTACTTTTTCATGGAACTACAGTTTAAGCAGTGTCTCAGATCCCCATTCTGTTTCCTCTGGAAAGGGACCAGACTTCCATGTGGGCACTACTGGGTGCATTGCAGGTTTACTTCAAAATGCATTTAGGTTTCCAGCAACTGTCTCTGAGGCTGGCATCAATTGCTGTGTTTCTGTAAGATACTTGACAATTGGGGTTTTACCTTTTCCTACAGGTGTGGGTTTCATTAACATGGTGGAGTGCTCATAAGAATAAGAAAAAGATTCTTAATAACTTTCAGGCGGTTTTTTTTACTTCTAAAAAAATGTGGCTAAAGGGATTATTTAATCTTTAAAATCTTGGGTTTATTTTGTGGTGTAGGAACAAGCTCTTTGGTCTAGAACTGGCTGATATGAGGATTCCACATGCCATGGTTTTGGTGTCTCTGTTGTTAGGCAGTTCTTTGGTGTTGTCTTGGAATGTACGTGCTTATGGGCAGGGAGACCCTTGCTAGGCCGTTTTTGCACATTTGGGTTTTATTTGGATAGTTTATAGAAACATATGTATCTGTGAGTGCTGCTGAAGTGCAGAGATGTAGTTCTGAAGAACTTGGTGTTCTGCACAGCCAAGATGGGGCTCTGGCTCGGCTCAAGGTCTGCAGGGCTGGACTGGGCTGGGCTCGTGACACAAACTGAGCTGAGTTGTCTGAACGAGTGAGTCTGCAAGGAGGAGAGATGGGCTGAAGCTGCTGGCTGTGAAGAGGCAGCAGGGATGGTGGAGTTGTGGTGAGGCAGAAGCTGTGGCTGCTGTGCTGGGCAGCAGCAGGCTTTCCTGAGTCACGTGAGGTCACCTCTTCTGGGTTCCAGTGAGGAAAAGACTTGAGTTCCTTCAATTGAATTGAAGTAGCAACTGATCCTGCGTAGTAGGATGCAGTGTGCCTGCACAGGGGTTCATTCTCAAGCCAGACACTTTAGGATTGCTCTGGATCACAAAAAACTCTTAGTATGTTCACAGATGCGGGAAGCCAGAAGGTAAATTTGCTCCAAGTAAATAGCAGTACAAATTGCCACTTAAAAGGAAATTGTGAAGCTTGGAAATTTGTTATGGCATATGTGTTCTTGTGCGAGAATATGTGTTCTTGGGCTAGAATATGCTAGTCAATACTAGATTTGTGAAAGTTCTCATCTTGTCAGAAGACTTGATGAATATGGCACACAAAATAGCTTTTCCATTTCTGTGAGCAACAAGTCATTATTTGTTGCTATGGCTGACTTTGATAAATTTCCTTCTCCCTTCAGTGTACTTTTGAATGTATGAGGAGCTTTTCTAAGATGATAGAATCCATATTAAGTTTGCCTGTAGAGTTCACTTGTGGCAAGGCTCTTGGTTTCCTGCACAGATACATACTAGGTAATTCAGGGCAATGTTTTTGGTTCCTCTGAGAAATTTTGTGTTCCATTAGACTGTAATTTCAGCTTCTTCAGGTGAAGATATTTTTATTGTAGGCTGGTAGCTGGCAGCAAGTTTAAAATTTTTTCATCAATCTCAATCTTAGAATCACAGAATGGTTTGGGTTGGAAAGGACCTTAAAGATCATCTTGCTTCAACTGCCCTGTCATGGACAGGGAACTTTTCACTAGACCAGGTTGCTCAAAGCCCTTTCTGACCAGGCCTTGACCATTGTCAGGTATGGGGCACACACAATTTTGCTAGGCAGCCTAAATTAGCTGGGTTCCACTTGTCATGATATGACTTTGGAGGAAGATCTCTGCCCTTGTTGGAGGCTATTTGATTCTCTTGCCAACATTTCCAAAATGACATGCTTCCATTGTGCATGTTGCTGGTGGTGTTACATTTGTTATTTGGTATCTTTACGGTGAGAGGAGAGAGAAGCAAGGTTCTGGTTATGGACAGGAAATAGAAAATACTGAGAGCAGGGAAATTACTCATTATTGATGTTGAAAAAAAAAGTATTTGGAAATTCATGTGACAAAGGGATCTTTCTCCTTGCCACTGGTGAAGCCTCACCTGAAGTGCTGTGTCCAGGTCAGGACAGTACAAGATAAACGTGGCTGTACTGGAGGGAAGAGCTGTGCTGGCTGGAGTGTCCAGTGAAGGGCCACAAAGGTGATGGACAGATGGAAAATGGAGCCAGGCTGTCTTCAGCAGTGCTTGGTGACAGGGCCAGAGGCAGTGGACACAAAATGAAATTCAGGGGGTTCCTTCTGGACATCAGGAAATGTTTTTACTGTGAGGGTGACTGAGTGCTGACACAGCCATAGGGAGGCTGTGGACTCTCCATCCTTGGAGATACTCAGAAACCATCTGGACATGGTCTTGGACATCCTGCTTGAAGAGGAGCTTGGATCAGATGACCTAAGAGTTCCCTTTCTATCTCAAATCCTCCTGCAATTCTGTCTTGCTTTGTTGGCCAAAAATCTTTCCTCTTCACCTTCCCCATTGCCAGGCAGTTAAGTGTAGTAAATTGTTCATTTACCTGAGGAAAACCTTTGCTGGGTAAAATTGCCAGAATAACCAAAAAATAGACATTTCCTTAAGTACTAATAAACCTGTTTCTGGTAGTCCTGAGATAATTGCTGAGATTGCCAGGAATTGTCAGTACATGCAGTCTGGGTTAACAGCATGTTACAAATTACATGGCAAGCAAATGTTCTAAGCCTTACATTGAACAGGCTAATTGATATGGTGTTGATTCACTCTTGTTCTTTTCACCAAGCATACAACTAGTTCTTGCCATCTTGGGAAAAACTAACCAAATACAGAAAGCCTTCTCTTTGCTGCTGGTTGGCAGTCCTAGGTTCACTGATAAATGACTGCAAGTTGAGAAATGAGTTGACTCCCACCATTGCCTCAAGGGAATTTACATACAGAATACTTGAGTAGCACATTCTTTGGTATCCCCCCACTCTCACTCTTTGTAGTTTGGTTTGCTTGTTCCTGAGGAAACTATTTTTGCTCAACTGCAGCTTCTTGATGAAGTCTTTGTTCTGGTATCTGTTCAAAAAATTGGGCTAAAAGTGAATCAATCATTAGTTTACTTCAGGAAATTGCTGGCAGATAACTGATACCTAGAAATAGAATGGGTAAATAAGGTGATGTGCAAAGTGCAAGTTCAGTATTTTAGAGTTTGTTTGTTTGTGAGCGTCTCAATTTACATATTAAAACTTGTTTTGATCCCTCTTGGATTGCATCTTATTATTGGTGCCTACTTTAGAATATGAAATTACTTTCATGGAGTTTTTTTGCAGAGGTAGGTTGTCACAATTTGGACATTGAGACCTGATCTTGAGACTATGTATTACATATTACAATCCATGAATTAGAAAAGAGACTGGAAAATGTAACAGGAATCTTTTAACTGTCTTTGGAAGAAGCACCCTGGAGATGCTTTTTAGAGCATCCTGGCTCTAAAATCTTGATGGAATAATTTTTTTCTGATAAGTAGTCAGAATAACAATATGTATGAAGGAGCAATTCTCCTCTCTTTCTCCCTCATCCTCTGCTATAAATTTCTGATTTTGCTTGGACTTGCTTCTTACATCAGTGTAGCATTATTTAAAGGCTTGTTTTTGTGCTTTGGTACCTATTTAGGTATAAATTCAGATTCATGATACTGTTCACCTGCAGTAGTGTCCAAGTCCTAACGTGAACTCTTTCCAGTTGTGAAGAATGAATAGAAACATGAGTGGTTTCACAGTACAATGCTGTAGGTCATCTCTGTGTACAGGAGGTAAATGTCTTTTTTAGGTCATGTCCAAGGTCTGTAGCTTGCAGGATAGACTAAATGTGGATGTTGAGACATGGAAAATGCTGTTTAAAATCAAGAGATGCTATTGCCATGTGAATAGAACTCTAGGCATGGGATTGTGAGTATTGTTAACACACATTGCTAAGGTTTAATAGAAAAACTCCTTCAGTGAATTTTGTAATACTCTAGAAATTGGTTTGCAAAGTCTTGCAAGAAAAATATGTAACATGTTGATTAACAAGAAAAACAAACCATTCTTAGAAGTTGTTTGTTCAATGGGTCCTGAATTGTAAGACCAAATCCAAGTTCTTTGTGTCTATTTCAGAAGTAAGCTATTACTGACACTGGATGAACAGGATAGCCTTTTGCACTTGTTTATTGATAATTAAAGTTTTTATTATGGACTTCTTTTACTAAATATTGAGAGATTCTTGTTTTGTTCTAGGACAGATTCTGTAGGCTTCCTTTAATGAATAAAAATATTTTCTGTTCTAGGTGTGGAACATCAAACAGATGATTAAATTGACACAAGAGCATATAGAAGCACTGCTAGACAAATTTGGAGGAGAGCATAACCCACCTTCAATATATTTAGAGGTAAGTTTACATTCAAACAAATGTGGTTATAGGTTAGTGTTGTGTTATCTTATGTGAAGTATCTGAGGTTAAAACTGAGAATACCTATTTTAAAAGGGTAAATTCTCCTTGTGCATTACAAACTGAGCTCTCTTCTAAGAGGTAGAAAGGAACTGTATGGGATTCCTGGGAATTCAGTAGGGGAAGATCAGTGGCATGCTGTAATAATAATGTTGGTGCAATAGAAATGTCAAGCCTCTTCATAGGGGGCAAGGGAGAGAAGATTGTGTTTATAATGAAGAAAGTAATGCTGTGTTTAAGCCAATATATACACATGAAAACATTTTGTAAGACTAACTTTGCCTTTAAAGCAGTTGACTTCCGTTTGAAAAATGGTCATGTATAATCCAAAAAATTGCATTAGTAGAAGGGGACTTCTTACAGAAATAGATAAAATTGTGGGGTGGAGTAAAATTTTAAAGCCATTTTAAATGTGTAAGCTAACTACAAATTCATTGTCTGTATTTTTTCATCATTCCAGATTCATAGAGTTGCATTGACATAGGACCATTTAGAGCTTAAAGAGATGCATGCAAAAGTTACCTCTATTAGGAATTGAAGGGGCATCATGTGCTTCAAACTTGCCCTTTTTGTGCTTCCCTCAAGTGTTGAAATAACTGGAGGTCAACCAGATTTCTTTTCTAGTCCTTTTATTTGCAATTGCTGCCTAAAGGTATTGGATAATTAAAAATAAAGATCTCATTATTTGAGGTACTTCTAGCTTTTATCTTAATATGTCAGAGCAGGGCACTAGGTTGATTATACAAATGTTGACATTATGTCCTGAACAGTTAAGGTCAAATGAGGCCCTTGGTAGTTGCTTTACTTATTGCTAATGTGAAATGGGAGCATTGAATCAGTGCTATCACTGTTTTATCCACCCTGCTACATTTAAGCACACCTGTTTTCACAAGGACTGGTTCATTCCTTATGTTTGGATTTATTATTGCCACATGCAAGTGGGTTTTGTTAGATTGTGTTTCAAACTGCAACAATAATGAACTTAGTCTATATATATACATTTATAAGTCTGGATTTAAGGTAGGGAAGTTATTAGTTCAGCTATTTGTCACTTGGTTTTACTGAAACTAAAACCAAGATACATTACTGGAACCTCTGTGTTTGTGTTGTAGGCCATTGATAGGGAAAATAGCATTTGCAGTCATAAATAGGTACTAGGAAATTGTTATGACAGCATGAAGAGTAAGTCTGAAATAGCTGGTGACCACAAATCATGCATCTGAAAGCAGATTTGCGAGCTGAATGGATCCCTGTGCCACTGAGCTGAAGCTCCAGCTCTGGCTGATCAGTGTGGTAGGGCAGGCACATGAGCAGAGCAGGGTGTTCCTCTGCTGCACTGAGCTCCCCTGGATCATGAGCACATCTTGGGACATGAGTGCTGGTGCTGACTAGGGAGCCACAGGCCATTGGGTGCAAGGTGAAAGGGCTGGCATTGTGCTTTTGCAGTTGTTATCCCATAGGGCAGTCCTGTGGGAAGAGCCCACCATGGCTGACATGAAAAGCTTGTTCTGCTGTGCAGTTCCCCAGCTTCCTTTGTTCAGGTGCTTGCAGTACTGGCAGTGACTAAGCCTAACAGTCACTGACCTGTAAGGAAAATACCCTGGTTTTGTTGGATTATTTTACCATCCAGGTAGCAGTTTAAACCTGATCATGATTAAATCAGTGAGCTGCAAAGCTGTGGTTAAGATTAAGGAAGGGAAAGAGTTTGCAGCTGTGAGCCAAGAACCAGAAGATGGGATGTGAGAGGAAAGGAACTTGTTATTTGAATGGTCACTAGCATAGATTAGATCCTCCTCAGATGCATTTATCAAGGTGAACAGGATTAAATGCTGCAAACCTGTAATTTGTTTAGTGTGTAGACTTCCTGTGGTAGGACTAAAGTGTGAAAGGAAAAAAAAGAAGAAATCTATTGCTGAATGCTAGATACAGTTAGAAGCAAGTTTACTCTCTTTCAATTTCAGTCCAGCAGCAGTTGTCTAGTGTGTCCTTTCTGTGCATTTCCCACCTTTTGGCTTGGTAAGACAGGGCTTGCTTTCTGTTCTGAGCATTTACTGGGCAGAAATTTATCTCAATCTAACCTGTCATGCTAGAGCTCATGTTTTGACTTCCTGTATTCCATCACTTGTCAGAGAAAGGGCCAGAAAAACTCTGGTTGCAGTACAGAAGAACAAAGCTATATGTAAAAAGTTTTGAATGTATTGTGATAAAGTGTGAAAGAACATGTTTGCCTCTAGCAAAGGCAGAACTAAGAAAACATAGTGGTTTTGGGGGTCTGGGGCTCAAGTTCTGTCTTCAGAGCTTGAGGGTGCCATCACTGCCTTCTGTGGAGGGCTCCCCTTTCCCCTTCAGCCCTTACCTGTAGTCTGTGGGTAAGCCTGGATGTGGTCTGTGTGGTCTCACCACAACATTCAGGTGGGAAGGTAATGGAACTTAGGTTCCATCCATCATCTTCTGATCTTTCTATTTTTATTGCTTTGCTAAAGACTCATTTCTGGCTGTAATATAGTCCTGCTTTTACCCAGAATCTGTATGAATAGTTTTGCTAGTGTGTTTCCTGAACTGCATCACCCTTCCCTTTGTTGCCTTAGATTCATGGAATGGGTTGGGTTGGAAAGGATCTTTAAAGGTTGTCCAGTTTACCCCACCTGCAACAAGCAGGGGCATCTTCAACCAGATCAGGTTGCTCAGAGCCCCATCCAACCTGGCCTTGAATGTTTCCAGGGATGGGGCATCCACCACCACTCTGGCAACCTGTGCCAATGTTTTACCACCCTCATCATAAAAGTTTTCTTTCTTACATCTAGTCTGGATCTACCCACTTTTAGTTTAAAACCATCAGCCCTTGTCCTGTAACAGCAGGCCCTACTAAAAAGTCTGTCTCCATCTTTCTGATAGATCACTTGAAATATCAAAAGGCCCTTTGACTATTACAGGCTGAACAACCCCAGCACTCTCAGCCTGTCTTCATAGGAGAGGTGCTCCAGCCCTCTCATCATCTTTGTCACCTCCTTTGTACCCTGTCCAACAGGTCAATGTCCTCCTCTTACACTGGGGGCCCAGAGCTGGGTGCAGCACTCCAGTGGGTGTCACAGGAGGGGCACAATCACCTCCCTTGACCTGCTGGCCACGCTGCTTTTGATGCAGCCCAAGATATGGTTGGCTTTCTGGGCAGTGGGTGCCAGCTCATGTCCAACTTTCCATCCACCAGTACCTGTTCTGCAGGGTTGCTCTCAGTCCGTTCATCCCTCAGCCGGTGTTGATTAAAATTCTCCTCCTCCTCTGACCTCTTTGCATCTTCCATAAAATGTGAGTGACTCTTGAGGACTCCTTAAGAGAGTGGGTAGTGTCTCTTGATCATCTCTTGAGGTTGCAAGCATGTTGTCTTCTTTTAGCAAAAGTCTAAATTAGCCAAAACTAAATGCTAGGTAAGCATCTGCAAATGAACACTTTTGCTTACACCCATATTGCCTTTCACTAGATGTAAACATCTAGTTTTATTATAATGCTTCCTGCAAAACTATGGCTATTTTTGTTCTTCTGACAAGTTTGTCAGCTATCCATCCATCTTCCAGTGTGCAGATTTTCAGTATCATAGATTGTTTGGTTCTTTTGTACTCCTGCTGGCTTTACATCTTTAATTTACTACAATTCTCAGTACCTGCTCGTGTTCATAGAACTTGCAGCACCCTGTACATTGGCTCCTGGCCTGTGTTGGAGCTGCCTCTGAAGACCTGTCAAATGAACTTGTGGTTGAAGCTGGTGACAGCATTGCCTTTTCAGTTAAAAGTGAAAGGAGAGGTTGGGGAGAGCAGAAGCTTGTGAGATAGGTGAAGAATTCAGCAAGAAAATAAATCTGAAAATGGAGCATGCAAAGATTATAATAAAATTATTTGTGCATTGAATATAAAACATACATCTCATTTAAAAATAAAAAGGAATTTATGCCTTAGCTACTGTTGCTCGAGAAATAAAGCTTTTGTTTCTGTGTTCATCTGAGAGTCAAGACAAAATTTTCACCCTCCTCAGATTTAAATTTTTCCCAAATTCAGGAGAGGGTGTCAATGCATTTTACGTCAAAAGAACTTTAAAACTGACAGCTGTTGTTGCAGCCATCATTTCAGGTTTCATCAACTGACTGCAAAAGAGGAATGCTTTTCTTGAAATACTGCAAGTGATTGACTTGTGCTGTGCTGAATTCAACATATATTTAATTATTCCCGCAAGAAGGGATACTCAGATTTAGGAGTATCTCCCTGCCTTGATCCATCACTCCTCAGTAATGGTCTTATGAAGGTCAGTGTGCAGCAGGGGGGAATAGAGCAGAGTGTGGAAGCCTGGGTGGAAAATGTAGTGGGGAGCTGGAGGGGCAGCAAGTTGCTTGCCCTGGTCCTCCCTGAGCAGGAAAATTAGGGCTGAGGAGGGAGACCAAAGCTGCAGAGAGACTTCTGAGTATGTGTCTAAGGTACAGGGGAAGGAAACAAAATGTACAAAAGAAAGAAAAGAACATTTGTCATTAATCACACAATTTTCTTCTAATCATTATAATTAGTAATAGCTTTGGGAGTCTTGTCAATGTTCTCTAATGTGATGGTAAGAAAAGCTTTTCTGTTTGTTCTGTCTGGAAGAAAGAATAAACCTAGTAAGCAATGACTGTATTAAAATCCAAAAATGGCTTGTAGCCAAATTTCCTTCTTATGTAATCTTGGCTTTTAACTTTTCCTATTTGCTGTGTGTGACATCAGCTCAAACAGACCCCTGGAAATCACAGAATGGTTTGGGTTGGAAGTGACCCTAAAGATCATGAGGTTCCAACACCCCTGCCATGGGCTGGGCACCTTTCAGTAGACCAACCTGCTCAGAGCCCCATCCAGCCTGACCTACAACAGGGATGGGGTGTCCTCAGTTCCTCTGGGCAACCTGTTCGTGCAATGGAACAGTTC